GTGTAGAGTGCTAGGATTGTGATGATAGATGTTGATGCGTTATTGGGTTTCTTTATGCAATATTCCACAGGTCTCTGAAGTCAGGACTCTACAGGAGCTGAAGGTGGCAGTTGAACCACTAACAAACTATCTAGCAACTGCTGGCTGTTTGAGGAATCTTACTTCCCTGACCGACAAGTATCAACTACTTGAAGACATTCTCATGTTCCAAGTTGTTCACCGGGTACGGGGACCTTTTGAGAGGTAATTTTGTTGCATATCATAATAAGACATGGTGGGACAGTGAAGGCCAATTATAGCCCCGTTTCCACTAGCCCACAAGTCACCCCACCCACTTGGGCCAATTCACTTTGTCCTCTCAGTCAGCGGTAATCCTGTGTACCCACTTGCAAAAAGTCTTTACGGCTAATTTTCTGATTACGTAAACGCCAGACACTGAAATCTGTTGTTGGCCTAGACAGTAAAATAAAAAAATAATGTAAGTAATGTTTTAATATTTAAATATTACTTCAATATTACCTATTTTAGTGAAGAAAACAGACTCTTGTTAAAGGTTGTTGGCCAGAGTGTGTTAAGTTATACTGACGAGCATGTGTAAAAAAAAAAAAAAGAAAAAATTAAAAAGAAAAAGAACCTGCGAAAATCATCCAATCAGCATGAGGGCCATTGCTGGGCTTTGTAATAAAACCTGCCTCAAAAAGCTACTAAAATCTTACTGATAAATGGCCCATAGGGCGACCACTCTACCACAACCAGTCAGGCGAATTAATTTGGTAATATGTGTAATGGAAACAGCCCTTGTGTATCTTGACCTTTTCAGCCCCTGCTAGCTGCAAGTACTTTTAGTCCGTGGGCCAGAATCTGTACGACGTCTCCTTAAGCAATTCCGTTTGAACTTTTAGGGGGCAACTTTCTTTCACTTGGATAAGTTGCTAGAGACTACAGTGATCTTAAAACACCAATGTTCCCACCCTTTCACTTGCACATTAATAAGTTATAGTCGATTAAAAATATAATTTTTCGCCGTAATCTAAGAAATCGCGAGATCCGAGTTTTGCTTATCAGCCAATCAGATGGCTGAATCTCAGCGCGAGTGCTCTGTTATTTAAATATGGCAGTGCCCGTGAAATGTTTTTTGCACTTGTTTCAATACGAAAAACGTCCAATTATTTCATTTTCTGGTGCCAGTTGGCGGCGATTTATTGAAAGTTGCAATTCCTGGATAGACCTGGATGGCAGGAAGAAACAAATAGCCGAAACGTTCTCTCAGTACACAGTTGAGTCGCCGGGACCCGCTGAGCTGGGGAACCGTAGGAAGTGCTACTCGAAGTACACGGACAAAACAAAAATTGGGAGAGCAAGTAAACGTGTTGTACGCGAGCAAACCCAAAGCACTCTTTGCTGTCATCGTGTAAGAAGCTGATACCAGACTTCTACTTCATGCAAAGCATGCTTATTTGGAATATAAAGATATTGTTATCTTGAGCCCAGACACTGATGTCATGGGCTTGGCTTTGGGTTGTGTGCATTGTTTTGAGAGTACTATCTATTTTAAGAAAGGGACTGGCAACAAAACTCGTATTGTTAATATTTCTCATCTAGCAAGTCTTCATGGTCCAAGGAAAGGTCTAGCTTTTGTTGGTCTTCATGCTTTTACTGGATGTGACATGTTAAGTGCCTTTAAAGGGAAAGGAAAAGTTAAAGCCTTAAGTCTGATGCTTGAATCAGAGCCAGCTCTTAATTGCTTTCAAATTCTTGGGAAAAATTGGGATGTTGATGATAAATTTTTCATTCAGCTTGAAGAATTTGTCTGTCACTTTTATGGACAGAAAAACTGGGTTAATGATGCCAGGTTTAAAATGTTCTCTTCTCTGTAAATCAGATAAATCTTTTCCACCAAATGAGGATTGTCTTTGACAACATTCTAAGCCAGCTCCATACCAGCTAGCAATTTATAGAAGGTGTTTGGACCAGTTTATAAACGCCCCTTACCCAGGAGGCCATGGCTGGTCCTTTGAAGATGGAGAGCTCTCCTATTGTTGGATGGTAAATCCCACAGCTCCATCTGATGTCACCATGGACATGTCTTGCAAGTGCAAGACAAATGCATGTGCTACACAAATCTGTCTATGCAAAAGGGGTCATTTGCCGTGTAGTGACCTCTGCCAATGTGTTCACTGTGCAAAGTGTCCTGCTATGATTGAAAATGAGAATGATGTGGAAGGAATATACTCAAATGATAATGAGGACTTGGATGACTCAGATGAT